AACCCGCACTTGGCCCGCACCTTCTGCTGCTGTGGCGTGGTGCGGCTGCGGCTACTGCCGTGGCGCAGCGCGGCTGCTGCTGTGCCTAGCCGTGGCTGCCAGCACGGTGCGCCGGCTCGTCTTGCCCCTAGCATTCGGATGCTCGGGGCACTCTGATGCTAGGGGTATGTTCGGGAATATTGTTGATTTATTATTATTTCGTGCGTCTCGTCTTTTATTATTTAGACTCGACTTCCGACGATCGGTTTTGACGCTCTAAGCTCGAATTACCGACGTCTAATTATTTAACACTCGGGCGACGAATTAATTTCTTCCGAATTAATTCGTCGAGTTGGTTCGCATATATTTGCTTGGGTGTGACCCGAGGCTTCAGTCAAGATTAAGCTGTAATATTAATTATATTAATATTACTGATCGGAAGCGGCCTCCACCCAGGCATTCCGATCACTTGACCTTACTGAATATATTAGCTTTCTAATAATTCTGAACTCGCTATCAGAATAATACACTTGTTCGAAGGACACTATTCCTTTCAATAAATACTTCTCCGTAAAACGATTTTAGCATCTTCTTACTTTTCTTCTTTACTCTTTTAATTATTTTCTTAGATTTTCTCTCTCTTATACCTTTGTTCTTAATCTACTCTTCATTCCAGATTTGTTTGGTAACGATTTCTCTTCTCTTAATCTTAGTTGTTTATTTTATTCTTTTGATCATGTCTTGCTTTATTGCTTTGATTAATTTAATTTTTATTATGTGTGAGTAGTTCTATTTCTAGGGTTTATAGGGATCCATAAATAATATGAAGGGGTAATTTATTATTGTTAATTGTCAATGCTAGATTAATTTCCTATTGATTGATTTAATGCTGTGTGACTAGATTAGGCCTGATCTTTTATGCATGAGTTTGACAATATTGATTCGAGATTCGATAGATGAGAATTGATGTTTAGGTCTAGTTTCAATAGGCAGGTTAATTTATAAATGGTTAAGTCGAGATTCGAAAGATAAGATTTAATACCGGTAAATTAATTGTGTGATTATAATACGTAGCGAAAGTCCTTTATGATCTGATTAATGTATGCATTGATGATTGATTATTATGTTCTACCCTAGAATATTATTTATTGGTGAACCTATACCCTAGATCCTTTTATATATTATTTTCTCCTTATTCTTAATCTTCGTAGTTTAGTTTCATATTCAAATTGACATAATGGTTACTTTATAATTTAGATTACTTTGGTTAATTAGGAATAGAAAGACTCGTTTCTCTGTGGATTCGACCCTACTTCCCTATTTACATTAGTTAGAGGATTTAGGAATTACTTTTGATTTGGGGATACGACTTTACCCTGTCATATGCCCAATTGCAAAGGGGTACTCGAGGAAGCACACCCAACTAGGGGCAGTCCAGTCAGCCCTCTCCCTAGAAGACGGGATTTTCACCACAACCCCATCAGGAAATCGCACAACAACAGCGATATTCTGAACTTCCTCCTTCGTTACAGTAGAAGGATAAATATCTTTAGCAGGGAAGACGTTTTGCGCGACCAAAGTCGGCTTCTTCACACCCTCATCCACCCGAGCAAACACCACTCTTACAGGATCATCCATCACAAAACAAAAGAGAAAGCAACGAAGTGAAAAAACAGAGAAAACAGAGAAGAGAGAGAAAATACCTGATGAAAATCGAAATTGGGGCAAAGGGTAAAGTGATTAGACAAGAGCCTTCACAACCAATAAATACTGAAGAAAGAAATAAACCGCCCTTCACGGATACCGAAAAAATTGCCTTAAAACTGCCACCACGTTCCTTATTTTTGTTAACCGTTGAAATAATTTATGAAAATTCGAAAATCCTTCTAACAGCTTCTTTAGGTAATTTTCACTTCCAATACTTGAAAATAAAAATTAGGGGCAATTATTGGGCCCGTATTAACATACGACCCAGTACGCCTAGGGCACCAATCCAAGATCAAGGATTCAGCAAAATAAGCAAGAACGGCTTGATTGGAGTAAACAAGGAAAGCATCATCAAGAGTATCAATCAGGAAGATACTTGCCAAAGATACACCAACAGAACAGGGAACAAAATAAATCAAGGGGATCTTCTACATTTCGAATATATTCTGAATATCTATGTAAACCCTAGGGATTCCTAGGTATAAGTAAGAAGAATTAGGCATTATAACATTCATGTACGCTCACATATAACTCAATATAAACAATTTGCTCTACTTTTATCTACGGAACTGCGTCCCTACTGAACAAGGAGGCTTGTCCTTACTCAGTATTGTATCTCTAAACTCATCTTCTTGATCTTATTGAATACTTACTGCTTACTTATTGATTATTTATTGCTTTATTATCGTTCTTATTTTCTTTATATATTATTGGTGGAATGATTAATATTACCCCTCAAAACCTAGAAAATTCTTAGATGTCCTAGCTGAGATTTGTCTAAACATACGTATCCTTTATTGGCTTGATGATATCCTCTATTGGCTATATGATTATCATATTATATTTAGATGATATCCTCTATTGGCTATATGATACCAATTATGATTGTGTCTATGATATCCTTTATTGGCTGGATGATATCCTCTATTGGCTATATGGATATCATGATGATATCATATAGCCAATAGAAGATATCATCCAACTAGTAGAAATATCATTCAGCTAATATAGGATATCATATTGCCAACAAAAGATATCATCCATTTTGTAGAGAATATCATCAAGCCAATAGAGGATATCATCCAACCAATAGAAATAGCATCCAGCTAATAAAAGATATTATATAGCTAATAAAGGATATCATCTAACTAGTAAAGGATATCATTCAGCCAATAGAGGATATCATCCCAGTAATTGAGGATATCAAAAATTTGTATTGTGTCAGTCCCAGCTGACATAATTTATAGCTAAATATTTCATTTAAAAACCTTTCACACTTTATAAACATTTTTTTAAGAGGAGATGCATTAAGGGAGGAATTGAATATGGTGCACTTTCACCATGGGATTGATAAAAATTATGTGAATGGTGTAAATGGACCAGTAATTGCAAGAGGATTATATGCTACTAAAAATTATACTCCGTATATAACAAAAGATAATTAATTAAATTAATAAGTTTGACATTTATAGATTTTTATAATATATTACAGGCAATGGTAGATAATTTTAGCTTTGAAGGGACTTTTTATTTTATTTTTTGTTTTTTGCCTTGGCAATATCAGCCCCCTACTTAAAATTAAAAAATAATTTTTGCTTGAGCTTGTTCGCAAGTACTCTTAGTACTGTATTTAATTTTGTGAACACATCAGCTCATTTATTACACTCATAACCGCCTATAGTATGATGGTAAAATTTGATGAGATTGCTTTACTTTCTCAAACAAATAAAAAATTGTTTCTCAAGAGATTAATTTTATAAAATTTCAAACATAATAGATATAGGGTAAAACGACTACTTGTATTGCTAATGGTTTAAAATTATTTTTTTAGAAAATTACAATAATTGACACTACTTTGTGAATTTTTTCAATTATTGACACTAATTTATATCACTTGCTAAAGTGACACCAACTTGCTACAAAAATTACAAAATTGACATAAATGACACTGAACAACTAATACATAACTTACAACCCTTGTATAAGTATAAAATTGCTTTTCAACAATCATTTGCTTCAAAGAGTTCTTAATTTATTGGAAATATAATACTATATAGATGTCATATGTAGAGTATTATTGATGTTTAGTGCTTTTAATGTCAATTTTATTCTTATTTTGGACAAGTTGGTGTCAATTCAATGAGTGACACAAGTTTGTGTCAATATTTGTAACATGTGTCTATGAGTGTGATTTTGCTAATAATTAAATGTATTTATTTTTTTATTTTGCGACTTTAGTAACAGGCCGAGAAACTTGAAATTTGTCAAATTTGCTTCAAACGACAAGGGGAATTATCAAATCTAATATATAATTTAAGAGTTTTTTTTTTCAACTTTCACTCACAATAGTCCAATCCTTGAATGGAGTAATTCTATGCATTCTATTTTTTATTTTTTTTAATAACTTCCTGTACAATAACTTCCACTTCTCCATTTTTTCAAACTATTCAAAAAAAAAAAAAAAAAAAATCTAAACTACCACTTAATTTATTTTTTCTTTTAAATATACATAATTGCTCCAAACTCCAAATCTTGTTCTCACGCATTTATTTATTTTTTTATATTATTTTTTTTTAAATAAAAAAAACAACTACCCATTCCACTCCTTTAAAAAAAAAAAATAATTCAATAACTACCATCCCACTATTTCTTTTTTTTTTTTGTATTTTTTACAAGGGATACTACTAATATTACACTTTTTTCTTTCCCTCAACCTCAAAAAAAAAAAAAAATATTACACTTTTTTCTAAGAACACTACTAACATTTTACTTTGTGTTATTTTTTACGTAGTACAATATATGACATGCAATAATACGAGTATATAGTTTATTTTATCAACAATTCACCATAACACTCAAAATCCCCAAACCCTTCGATTATATGTAATACGCTCCAAACAACTTTGACTTCTCTAATAACAAAAAGAAAAAAAAACACGTTTTTTGCGAAACTGGTCTCACCGAAAAACAGTTTGCAAAAGAACAGAGTAACTCCTACACATTGAACCAAGTTACCCGTATAACACTAAACCGGTAACCTCTATAGATTTGACAAAGTAAACCCCATAATTACTTGCCACATTGCGTGGCCACCGACATATAAGAGTAGACCCGGTTCTTTTAAGCTTCTAAGTAGGGTAGAGAACATAAGATTCCAGCATAGCAGTTCAGTAGAGCGGAGTTCACATAACACAACAGCTCAAAAGAACAGGGTCTAAGTTACAACATCAAAATCAACTTTCCGTATTCTAAGTATATTTTTTCTTATAGTATATATTTAATATCTTTATGATATAATATATATCCTGTGCACGGTACAGTCTAGTTAAGAACATAAACTCAGTAGGCAACACATATCTTGTTCAATATTTCAATCTACACCAACAATGTCACCAGCAGCAACATCAGCTGCAGTAGGAGCAACAACACCAAAGTTATCACTCACCCATTCTCATTACCCTAAAACAATCTCTCTCCTCCCACCCTCCATCATCTCCTGCCTCTACTCATCACATTCAACCTCTCTTAAACCCCTCAATTCTCTCTCCTCCCATGTCTTCTGCCATGCCTTTCCTTCAAACTCCCAAAATTTCCAATTTGCAACCTCAAATTTCGAAGATGAAGATGAAGATGAAGAACAGGTAATTGGGGATTGTTTGATTTTTGAAGATGGGGTTTTTGAAGACCCATATATTGAGGAAGAACTAAACCCTCAAATTTCTTCAGTTTCTGAAACTACCCAGAAACCCAAATCAAGGCAAAATAAACCAGAAGTTATTGAACCCCAGAATTTAATCCCAGAAAAATGGAATTCAATTGTGGAAGAAATCAATTTGACCAAGAAAGAAAGGAGAAAAATTGCTCAGGAAATGGAATTTGGGCAGAAAGTTGTGAAGAGGAAGATGATTAATGTAAATATGCAGGAGTATTTGAGGTTAAGGGAGGAGAAATTGTCTCAATTGAACCCTGTTGTTCTTGATGACCCGCCTTCGTTTCGTGCTGAAAATGAGGGAAGTGGTGATGATGCTGACGATGATGGTGTTGCAAAGCATAGGAGAGAGACTGTTGATTCTAGAGTTGAACCGAAGAATCCTAGATGGGCTGTATATGGTCGTGGATTGGATGATATTACAGAGTTCTTCAACAGTGGCAACTATCAGCCTAGTGAAAAATCGGATGGTAGTACTATCTTCTTCTCTCATCTTTGTATATTATTATATTATGTTTGTCTCGTATATACAACGGGTGTATTGGATATTCATGTTTAGTCACGACAAATCATATACGGAGTACGAAATAAAAGTTATCCCTTTGTAGATTATGCCATATTTATTTGGACTTAACTTTACTAATTAGATGTATGGAATTTCGAAATTGCTTGGAAAATGAGATTTGTTTAATCGTGTAAACATCCTTTTAAATTTTGGTTTACCAGTAGTTAAAGACCATGGTTGTTATACTATATTTGCGATTGTTATTAAAACAAAACTAGGATGACATTGAAGTTGTGGGCTGTCATGTTTCTATTTCAAGATTATCCAAGTTTCATGTAATATAACAATATAAAGGTTGTATTTCATTCTATAAAATTCAATTCCATTAACATGGAAATTCCTGAAGTTTATCTTTTTATGTTGTTGCAAATGTAGGACGTCAAGGTCAAGTGTTGTTTACAAAGGAGGAGAAGGCCCTAATGAATGCAAAGAGACCTAGACTTGCAGCTGCTACTTCTGTAAGTTCTTCGCTACCTATGGTTAAATTTGAAAACCAAGAGTTGTACCAGGCAGCCAACGTGGGTAATTTAAGCCGGTGCTTTCTCAAATGATGCTTGAGATGTTTTAAAATTTTAGATGGAATGAGGCTTTTTTTATTGTATCGTTAAAATTGTAATCATTATGATAGCAATTAAACAACCGCTGATGTTTCATGGATACCAATATGTTTACTGTTCTTGCCATTGCCAAATTTGAATGGGAATTTTGATTCTGCAGGAAAAATGGCTGCCTCTGCATACTCTTGCTGCATCTGGAGAATTTTACCTTGTGAATACTTTGTTAAAACATGATGTTGATATCAATGCTGCTGATCAGGTTAGGCTCGCAGTTGTATTCATGCTGCAACCCTTCGTCAGTTGTCATTATCTTGCTTTCATGTATGGTGTCTTTCACTTTTCATAACTTCTTAGTCTGATATTGGTCTGTCATTTTTCTTTTGCCAGGACGGCTTAACTGCACTTCATAAAGCAATAACTTGTAAAAAGCAGGCTATAATAAATTATTTGCTGAGAGAATCAGCTGATCCTTTTTCTCGTGACAAGGTTTGAAGAAAGTTTCTTCCATCTTTTATACACTCCATTCCTGATGTTTTGAAGCTTTAAGTCTGAGCTTGTGCCATCATATTGTATATTTTTCTGCATTGTTGTAGCTGCCTCTCTTATATGGGGCCTTGTATTTGGGGCTGGCTTAGCGGCACTAATTTTGTTTATTTGATCAGCTGCAAGCCTTTCTGTAGTAGTGATATTAGCTTTAGAAAAAAGTGCAAGGCACAGTAAGGCCCAAAGGGTCCTGATGTCCAAGAACCAAGGCGATAAATGGAGTGATTGGAGTCATGGATATGCATCGTAATTTTGAGGCTCAAAGTTTTGCAAGGATGTTTATTCATTGATTCGCCTTATGAAAACGAGATTTTCCTTTTTTCAACTACTGGCTTATTTTATCTTTAATCAAAGAAGGAAAAGAGCTGAAGAGGAATTTGGTCACATGGGTTGTTTTCGTGCACTGATGCACATAGGTCTATGCCTCCATTACAGGCATGCCCAAGTAGGGCTTCTTCTGTACACCCAGTTGAATCATGCCCACGGTACATCAACACTCATTTTCTACTTATTTGGGAGTTCAATGAACAGTTGTGCTAAGCTTTGGGTTTACTAGTACATCTGAGGGGTATAAATGAAATTGACACGAACAAGAGTGCTTGAGGACGACTAGAGGTGTTTTTTATTTCAAGAACGAGAAAAGGCATAGACCATTGAATGTTATCTTTCATAAGCACATCTAACAGGCTGACACATCTCTTCTTATATCATTGCATAAACTTTTGAAAGTAAACCCATGATTAGTAGAACAAGAGCTGGCTTGAGATCTGACGATCAATTCGCTTCACTGCTGCTCCTTAACTTTTGTACTGTTTCTATTTACTAGCTGTCCTACAATTTAGCTCCAGACATTCAATATATGTGAACTTTTCAGCTTTCAAGGTTTTCATATGGTATAATGATTGCTGACTTGACAGATTGTTTGTAGTTGTTGTTTAATAGCTACCAGTATATTTTCGTCCTTGTGATCATTCTGCAAAGGATGATGATCTGGTATGTTTTACTGTTGCTTGCAGGATGGGGCAACTTTGATGCATTATGCTGTTCGAACCGCATCAAGTCAGATTATTAAAACACTGTTGCTGCACAATGTGGATATTAACCTCCAGGACAATGTATGAACGTTCATTTCTGCTTGTTGGCGACTTTTTATTTAATAAACCTCTGAAACAATATATTTAATATGCTATTATTCTTTCCTTTTGAAGGATGGGTGGAGTCCATTGCATCTTGCTGTTCAGGCTCGGAGAACAGATGTTGTGAGGCTCCTCTTAATGAAAGGAGCAGATAAGACACTAAAGAACAAGGCAAGTTTCTAATACTTCATTATCACTTGCATTGTTTCTGAGAATGTGAATTGAATTATTGGGTGATTTATTTGTTAGTGTATGCACTTGAAGAATACTTGGTATTATCTAATTCATTCAAGTGTTTTGTTTCCTGACTTTCCTCCATATAATGAATCAAGAAAGTGGGGTCATATAGTTGGGAAGGATACGCTTTTCAACCTTGAGCACTTAAGGTTGAAAGTCTGTTCTCTGCTTGTTTTTATATCCTGTCCAGTGTCCACCACCTTAGGGTGGCCCAAGTGCAGAGAGAATTTGGATATTATTCTTTGGTTATGTGGAATGGATTCAGATCAGAACACACAAACAAGACACAAACAACAAGATTTGATTGAATCTTGGATTAAGAAATGCTCAAAATAAAGGTTTTTTTTACAAACAGTGGGTTTAGCCTGCCACTCCACAAGGGTAACTTTAGGTTACCAATCTCCACAACACTCAATCACAAGTTGCCTACCTCATCAATCTCTCTCTCCCCTTTTTATATGTACAAGCAATTCCCTAAATGATTACTACTGGCTGCTGATTTTGTCTTATGTGCTGTTCTCTTTCCCATCATTTGCTGCCATCTGTTCTGTGTTGATTGGGGTGGGTGCATTTGGCTGCTCTGCTGTAGTCAGAGGTCCGTTAGGGATTCTCTTAGTGCGTTCCTTCCTCCTGGAGTAGGTGAGGACCACTGGTGGTCTCACAGGGTCATTATGCCCTATTACATTTTAAGCCTCTTTCCGAGGAGTAAAAGGGGAGGCACCTGCACTACAGTATACACCATCTGTCAGAGATTACATTTCTGGTATCAGATATTCCACCGCATTCCAGCTCTTTTTAATTTTTATTTTAATTTCTATGGTTATGTTCCTTCGTTTGCTCACTTTACTCACCTTTTTTGAAACTCTTTTAAATGATTATTTTATTGTGTCCTTTTAAGTATACGTACCATTCTTATCGATTCATGTTAGCCGACCACAAATCTTTTTCTCTTTTTTTTTTTTTAATTTTTTATTTATTTATTTTTTTAATTTTTAAAAGAGACCACCAATCATTTTGGGACTAAGACTTTGTTATTGTTGTTGTTTTTGTTATAAACCCCTCCCCTTCACGTGATTACTATATTCTTCGTAATTGGGGTTTGTCCAAGGTTGAGACAATTTTTTTCTCCCAATAAATTAGCATCCATTTTCATCATCAAACCAAGTTTCAAACATCAAATCAAACCATGTTAAGTAGGCTATGCAGAACCTCAAAACCTCTTCTTTAACTCCTTTCTCCAATTCATTATTGCTGCATTTAAAGTTCATGCGATTGAGCGCACCCAAGTAATAATGTGTTATTCCAGCCAATTTTGCCTTGGAGAAATAAGAATTGAACCTATGATATTGTACAAGCCTTTAGTTATTTGCATTGGTTTTGCATTTCTGTTATATTGAGAATAAAATTTCCAGTATAGATCCTATTAATCTTTCTCAGCCTTGTCGTATGAACTATCAAAGACATTCTCTGTATTCATTTCAGGATAATCTGACTGCTTTGGAGCTTTGCCTGTATTCTGGTAATGACACCAAGACTTATGAGCTCATTAAACTATTGAAACAGCTACCTAGGCGACATCGTTGATTGTACATAGAGAACAGTAAGAACTCGACCATTTAACCAGATTAGCTGCTTGCTGGTAACTTGATGCTGACCACAAACCTTGGCTGAGTTAGATCGTGATTTTTGAGGTCAGAACATGTTTCCAATGGCAGAGCTGCTGCCCTATTGGCCTGGAGGCGGAGTGCTATAAAACTTATGTACACCTAATAGAGTATTGGTGAAATGCATTTAGAAACTATAGTTCCTGTAATTTTGTTACCTAAACTGTTAATCCTGTTCGATAAATTCCATCCTCTATACATGCTGCTATCTTAAGCTTGAAGGTGTACAATTAGTAATCCATAATTTTGATGGTCTTGTTCGTATTGAATGCCTAATTGGTTTGGGACACAAATTCTGATTACTTCAATTCTTCAACCAAGCATATCCTAATAATATGCAAAACTGCTAACAGTGCTAAGGATTTGAGACTGTCTAAAATTAATGAGCAGTAATCCGTTACGAGCTTCTTGACCCTTCTAGTTGAATGTATAACATAACTGGAAATAACTTGAAGACTCTAAACTTTTTTACAGTAATAAAAAAATATTAGGTGCTGCAACCATTGGTCAGAGGATCTTGTCTTATTTTTTCTAGAATTAGATTGAATCCTAATACGATTGATACTTGATTTTTATTTTAAACTAGGTTAAGTTCCGTGCCATGCACGGTTATAATTAAACTTTACAACAAAAATTATAAAGAATGTTTTTATTTATTTTTTATTTTTATTTTTGAGGGGAATAAAGAATGGTTGTTAATTTAACGATTTATCCAAAAAAAATATTTGTGACAAAATAACTTGAATTTTAATTTATACCAAATGTGTAAAGGTTATTGTTTTGAATTTTATAAAAAATAATTTATTAATAGAAATTTAGAATCTATTAGGTTTTATATAAGAAAACGAAAATATAAGCTTAGCTTAGTACCCATATATGTTTTCAAAAAAAAAGGAAAAAAAAATAAAAGGTTAGTACCCGTATACGAACTCATATACATTTGTCCTTATATTTTTGTTGACACACTTTGACCGGCATTAAATGAAAATTTAGTTGATTTATATTACTTTAGGATAATTAGTATTCCATAATCAACTTTTTTAAAATGTATTTATAGTGAACAGTAGCGGTTTTTATTTTAATTTTAATATAATCACATTGCATAACGATTAATGTCAAATGATTAATGTTGGAGCTTGGAGGAAAAAATTGATACTCCTTAATATTTAATACCTTATTTTTAATCTATGTTTGTATACTTGTAACTAAAAGATTAATAGTATATAGAATATATGTTAAAAAAAATATTAATTGAGTATGATTGGATTAGATATGTTGTCAAAATAGAAATAAGTATTATTGTAGCTTATAAAATGGAAGTCATTAAAATTTGGTATAAAAAAAAAAGAAAGTGCAAAAAGGAGGGAAAATTATTAATGATATCGTGACAAATGTCATCTTAGGTTCGCTTTTAGTATAGGTTAATTGATTCTCAAATAATTGTGTATTTTGTTCTTGCTTAATTTATTGTGCTTATGCCAACATTAGACTAGGAGTAATGGGTAATGTGATCGCAACAAGAGTTGAGTTTTGACGGATTTGATAATTTCAATTAAGGATATGAAATTCTCTATGGAAATAGGTAGAATGAATTGTTAGGAAGTTAGGGACTTAAAATCTTTAATTTTCATGATTCCATGAAAGTAGGTTTGATTGTTAATTAGGAAAGACATTGAGAACTCTGAAGAGATTTTAGTTTTTAATATTCCTTGTGGACATATAATTGATTGGTTGGGTAGAAATTGGTCTTGTATTGATTATGCTAGTGGTGATACCTCATTTTAAATGTTTTTATTATTTGATTTTCTTAAGAAGTTTACATTTTTCAACCCTATATGTGATTGAGGAGGATTATTTCGGCTTTATTATTTTTGCTACGTGTGCAACCACCTTATCAACCTCATTAAACAGTTTGAGTTGACAAAAATTGAAATGTTTCATATATCAGAGCGTATGCAGCCATATCATGCCCGCATGTACTTCCCTATTTTATTCGGTTAAAGTCAAATATGATAAGCTTAAACTAAATTACTAAAATGAAACAAGTACAAGCTCAACACTATAATATAAATCTATTTTGTTCGATTCAAAATGATGGTTGTTAGCTAGCCAAATGAAGGACGTTGCGAAGAGTTGTAACCAAATCTGATACATACTTGTCATAGCCCCTTTCCATCTGCAGAAATAATTATAATAAAAATTCATTAATATCCACAAAATTATTATCGATAAGATTAAAAAAAATTTAAGTGAGTGCGGAAGAGGACGGAATCAACACCTGTGCAATAGTGGTAATCTCTAGTGCTGTGTTGTTCATTAGTGCAACGTTAAAATTAGTAACGGACAGACCATGCTTCTCTGCCTCTACAAATAACTTTACAAAAATGCCCTTCTGCTTTTCACAACATACTCTTAATATAAGCATTTTCCCCATTAATTTTACTTCAATTTCTGGTAATGAAGCACTACTACAACTACCATAACCATCACCATCACCAATCACCGTCATCGCTACCACCACTATAGTCATCCACAGTCGACAAAGAAACATTATCATCACTACTGCCGTTGTCGGCTTTGAATTTAGTTTTTTGGGTTTTTCTAAGCTATGCCCCTAAGCTATTCGAGTTTCTAAGGTGTATCCATACTTTTTCAAGTTTCTAAGCTGTGCCCTTCTACTCCTTATCAATACTAAAATGTACCCTTATTAGTTGTTTAAATGTTATTTGAGAGTGTGATTTCGTGGCTTCACTTTTCATTATTAGGATTGCGGTGGCTAAAATTTCTTTCTCCTACCATTTCCCTACCTTTTATCATCAATCTATTAAATTTATAGTTAACTTTAGGTGACGTGGAAGTTCCAAGGAGGGCACCATTCATCAATGGTAGTAAGTTGAGGGGCACAACTTAGAAACTTGAAAAAGCATGGGTACACCTTAGAAACTCGAATACCTTAGGGGTATAACTTAGAAAAACCCTAGTAATTTTTTACTACCGCAGTCCTCTTGGCAACCAGACTTTCAAGTACCTTTACTTTCTCTTGAAGTTCCTTCATATGTTTAATTGCGGATCCTAAGACTGTTGTTTTATCGACCTGTATATAACATCATAATAGTAAATAGATTAATAATAATGGTCAAACAAACTTTACTCCGTATCATTTAGATTATTGGTAAAAAAAAATGCCACCTTCTTAAGGCCGGGAATCATAGCAGAGAGTGAAATGATCATATGGCTCAATAATTCCCGGCGCTTCCTCTCAGCAATAATGTGATCTTGGACTTGGCTTGGCTGCCGTTTTCGCTTTGAACCAACACTCACTGCTTGCTTCTTCGTCTCTTTCTTATTTTTTGATGGTTGGCTCTTTTGAACATCAGACCTTACAATGTCATCTTTATCATTTCCATTATTAATATTATTACTAAAATCGTTGTTTTCACTAATATGAGGGGTGGATAGATATTGATTAATACTATCAAAATCTCCCTCAAGAGAGGGCGTGTCGTTGGTGATGTCGATAGGATAAGGGAAATCGATACCAAGTGTAGCAGCGAGTTGTTCTTCAAAAGTTGGTTCACTTTGCTGATAAGGGTCGTTTATTAAACTAGGATTATTTGGCTCCATTTCCATATCCATTTCCTACATCAAACAATTAAAACTATCAATTTGTTAATTACAATTAGCGTACCTAGACCAATAAGAGCAAGTCTAATGGTTGTAGATAGGAATTTGTTTGCAATTTTCAAAAGTATCTAGCTACTAGCTTGACCATTGGAGCTAAAAAATACAATTAGCTTGACCAAGCAAATTAGCTTGGGCTAATATGCCCAAGCTACTTTGCTTGATAAAAAAGTTTCCAAAATTTTTGGAGATTAATGTATTAAAATATTAAATTTATAAAGCTAATTGAGAAAGTCAAGTTTATTTAATTGGCAAACTAGTAGCTAACAATTGGGGTATAAAATAGCTACAAAGAGGATTAGCTTAAAATCATGTACTACGTATGACATACCAAGCTAATTTAATGATTAGGTTATCATTGAAGATGCTCTAACAAATAGTCTAAACATCAATCATACCACACTACCACAGTACATTTTGAGACCTCAAATGGTCAAACGGCAATTGATCAAAGTTTGGTAGTAGATTCGTATATACATTGTAGATATATTTATTAAACGTCAATTGTCTGTCAACAATATTTGGCGAGAAACAAAATAGCTACAATATATGTGAGCTTGTGAGGATCTAAAATAGATTCATATATACATAATAAATATCAAAGAATAACCAATAAAGTCATTTAGGTAACTTTTTAATTCATATGTACTAAGTAGTAAGTAAAACAAAATGCAAGGTGATTAATATAACATCCGGAGATATTAACTGAGTAGAGATTAGAGGTCTTACCAATTCTGCTAACCATGCTTCCATAGTCATCGTTGGAATCATTATATTGTTTACTCTTCTAGTGATAAAAATATTCACTTAAAAAAAAAAAAAAAAAAAAAAAAAAAAAGACTGAAAGAATGAGTTGGAGTTAGTATTCGGGGACCCTAATTTATTATATAGGGGGAGGTTGTCAAATTTTGTGCTTTTGTCTTATATGTATGTGTATTTTTTTTTTTTAATAATATTTCTTGCTGGCTAACATGGCAATATATAATTTTACGTAATAAAATAAGTTTGCATCATTTTTATTGAACAATAATAATGAATTACAGAAATGTGAAGAGATTAGATGCGTTCTTTTCAAGAAACCTCAATTTGGGTTCTTGCTACGTGTTGACCGGTATTATAGAGCGGAGGTACCTACTCTCCTATTTTCAAATTTAGGTTAGGTTTTTTTATCCATACAATGTTGGAATATATTTTTGAAATTTGGTTCAGAGTAATATTAATGTGGATATGAGGTGTAGTTCATAAGTACTAGCTAACATTACGTTGATCATAGTAATCTTAATTTTATCTTAGTGACTTTTATTAAAATTATATTAGTGCTACTCAATACTTTTCTCTCTCTATCTATAATAAAGTTGTTTCTATTTAGACGATGATTATCTTACAGTAAAAGTTAAGATTGAAATTATTTTATTTATTTATTTATTTATTATTTTATTTTATTTATCTAGATCTTATTTATGAGGCATTAGTTTGCTGAATATAGGTATGAGGTGTGGGTATAGAATGATTAAAAATCATACCATATATTTTGGTTGTCAAAAGTAGAGCTGTCAATTCGGGTATTTAAGTCGGGTCAAATCAGGTCTTGAGTTACATCAAGATCAAGTTATGTCTGGTCAATCTAGCTTCAGATTAGGTTCAGGTTTGGGTCGGGTCGATTTCAGTTCAAATTATAACGGGTCATTCACCTTTTCGGATATAAGTCAGATTCAATTTGAGTCAAATTCAGATCAGGTTCAATTTCAGGTTCGGGTTATGTTGAGTCGGGTTTGGATGGGTTAATAAGATGGTACATTCGGGTTTTGGTTCAAGTTTAATTCTAATAAATATCGATGTGGTCAAATTGAACTACATAATTATGCCTTCCATAATTTGATCTAAGCATCATCAAGATTTTATTAAACTTATATACGAGTAATATAGAACAAAAGGGATATAAGCTGAACAAAAGATTTTATTGAATCGGATTGAGGGTTTACAAAATTATACCGGTATATAAGCTGAATAAAAGGTATATAAAATTTTATTAAACCTTCCATGACTTGGGTACAAGTTTTAATTGGGTCGGGTACTAGTTCGGGTTCGAATTGTTTTCGATCGGATTAAATCGGTTGACGATTACTGATCGAGGGTGCAAGTAAAGGGTCGAACCCAAAAGGACTAAGTGTATTAATTTGTGCCAACTAGACTACTAGGAAAGGTCGTAAGATAGAGAGAGGTTAAACTAAACACGACTAAGAACAAACAACTAAAACTAGGGAAAGTAGAATCCAATCACATCAATGTATTAAACAACATCATACAAATAGATGAAAATGACCTCGATTAGGAACATCAACACATTTCACTCACTCTCGCACAATTAAGCATGTTAATTATCCTACTAAACTAATTCACTCTCGTGCAACTAGCCTAGCAAAGGTATGGAAGAATTTAGGGCTCTCAACCAACTCACTCTCGCACAATAGATTGAAAGCACAATTAAGAGCATACAATCAATTAGCTAGAAAGATTCTAATCCATAAAAGCATCACCCATACACAATAATCAAGAAACAATTTCATACTAATCACAATCAATCATTCAATTCATTAATATAACCTTCATCCAATTTCCTAGAACAAGACCTAAGCTAACATAATGAAGAAAGGCATGGATAACAAGGTAAAATAAGAATAAAAACAAGATTAAACAAACAAACTAATTAATCTACTCAAATCAACAAACAAAAAGCAAAAACTAAGAATTAAGAAAAGAAATAAAGATGAGAGAAAGTTAGAAAATGCTCATTGAATAGATGAGAAGAAGTTCCACAAAGTTGCTTCTTCAACCTCGCAAAAACTCCATGGAAATCCAAACTTTCTCTCTCTACAACTACTCCTAATCTAACCCTAAGAGAGAGAAAATAAAATAGGCTAAACTAATCTAATCTAGGTAATAAAAATGTTGATTGAAAAACTTTTTAGAAAATAACCCCAAAGGGGGTATTTATAATACAAGCTAAACAAAATAAAATAAAATAAATAAAACTAATTAAAACTAAATTAAAAAACAAAAAAAAATAAAATAAAATAAAAGAAAATGAAATGGAAAAAGAAACCCCAAAATTGCCACTAAACCCACGAAAACAATCAGCCCCCAATTTACCTTTCTCGTGGTTGCTCTGATTCTCATCCTCAATTCCATCGCACGCATCTTCACCCTTCATCAACATCAATCAGCAAAATCTTCATCAAGCATAACTAAATCGCGGCCGTCCGATTTTCAATAAGAGTCACGCGCGAAGCTCGTGAAATGGTTCGGTCAAACCATGCGTTGGTGCGGCCGAACTACGGGGTTGGTTCGGTCGAACCATGGGTGTGTTCGACCACACCTCTTCAGTTTACAAAAATTTGAAAGTTTCCGACTTGTACTTCGACTGAACTCTTATTGGTTTGCTCGAACTTGATTAATTTGCCATTTGCTCTAATTTTGCTCTATTTCTTGACGAATTGGTAGGATGATGGCCGGAATTGAGTGGCTGCGGTGGTCGGAGTCGTGGTTTGGTGAGGTTTCTGCTGTTCGAATGGAACAGGGGAATTGCGTGGTTGATGGTGGCTGTTCGCAGGTGGTTGCATGGCTGGTGAGAGTGGTTCATATGAGGGATGTTGCGAGGTGTTGGTGGTTCAGGTGGTTTGGGTGGCTGCTGTGGTGGTTTATTGGAGGTGGTACGAGTAGGTGTTGTTGGTGGGCTGAGAGCTGCATGAGGTAGCAGGGGCTGCTGGTGGTGATTGCTGTTGTGGATTGGTGGTTGCGGCGGCTGAGGAGGCTGAGATTGGTGGTGGTTGTTATTGAGTGGATGGTGGTTGAAGGGGGATGTGGGCTGGTGTGCGTGGTGTTTTGGTGAATTGAGGGAGCATAGGATTGGTGTGTGATATTGGTGGGTGATGGTGGTGGTGCGGCTATTGCTTTTGGCGTTGGTGTTGTTGGGGGAAAGCAGGGAGCAGGGCAGTGAGGTTAAGTTGTGGTGTAGGATAGGGAGGAAGTGGTTGTGGTGGTCCTTGGTGGTCAGGTGCGTGGGAGCTGGAGGTGGCTGCTGCAATTGGTGGAGCAGGGGAGCTTAGTGGTTGACGGTGGAGGTTGGTGCAGAAAAGGTGAAGAAAGGTGCGATTGTGGTGGCTGTTCGCAGTTGGGGTTGCGTGGCAGCAGCCATGAGCCCATGACTTGGCTTGGACACATTTGACTCAAACCCGGAATTTCGAACTTGATTTGAACAAGGAAATCGAGCGTCAACTCTAACACACCTACAACCAAAAATCAAACACGAGGGGATTATCAAAAGTTAAAATAAAATAAAATAAAATAAGATAAATAAAGTAAAATAAAATACTAAAACTAAAGAAATAATAAAATTAAATGAAATAACATAAAATAAAGAAAACAAACTAGAAACTAAAAGAAAATAAATAAAAAGAGAGAAACTAGGAATTATTAAAACTAAGTTAATCTAAATTAAACTAAAAACTAAAAAATACTCAAATAAAAAGATAAAAGACGAGAATAAGCAAAATAATAGAAATAAAGGATAAAATGAGCTTAATTATTGAAATTAGCTGAAAAGTATTCAATAAACACCCCTAAAAGTGACGTAAAAGTCACTTATCAAACTCCCCCAAGCTAACCTTTTGCTCGTCCTCGAGCAAATTAACATGAAACACGGGAGAAGGAGAGTGATTTATTCAAGCAAATCTAAGACACTAAAGGAGACAAGAATGTACACTAACTCACTTTCGTAGGAATCACGGTCAATTTTAGCAACTAAAGACAAGCCCTTTAAACCCCTAGATCGCCCTAGAGGACGAGTGTGCTCTCGTGAGGGTTTCCTAAGAGTTTAACCCACAACTCTAGACAAAAACCAAGGCAAGGCAATAAAAAGAAAAAAAAGAAACATAAAAAGAGAAAGAAAACACAAATTCATATTTGGACAAGAGATAAATGTATGCAAACCTTTCTATATAGACAAATGTATGCACGTTCCAAGATGTCAATGGTTGATTGAAACATAACATATGCTAAGCATAGAGAACTAATGAGGACTCAATCCACCCTAGCCCCAACCAATCGGGCCGCGTTCTCTCCACTAGTTTCAAATCAACCCTTAAGCTAGTTTTTCATGATTCCACGAAGGAACCGGAAAAAGATAAAGAAATGAAAAACTTTGAGAAGGTAATCCCGACATCTCAACTATGCATATTCTCTCCATAGGTTTGAAGTCTATCTCCCTCCACCGTTCTTTGACTCAACCCCACTAAAGTCTAAGGGTCTTTTATTGGGTTGTAACGTAAGGCTAAGGGTTAAGGCGGGGTAAAAATTTGAAAATTTTGGTGATATTTCCTAAGTGAAGCAAAAGAGTGGCCTACTCTCAAAAACAAACTCAAGAAGTCACAAAATATCAAACAAAAATACCTCGTATACGTGGACCAATCCCATAGTGGCACGTGGCCAAGTTATAGGGTGACACGTGTCACCATGGGAAGATGCCACGCAATTCAGAGCCCTTAAGGTCTCAGGCCAATCTTGTAGCGACACGTGGCCCAGTCAGAGGGTGACACATGTCGTCATGAGAAGATGCCATGTGTTTAGGGCATGTGTTCCCTCTTTAATCAGCACACCAAAAAGCCCTAACAACGTCAGGGCCCAAATCCCGAGAGATACCAATGAAAGCCGTAAAAACGGCGCCCCTAGGGCAACGCGTGGCATTCACTGATTGCGCAGCCAATCACGCCACGCTAACCTAGGGTACAAACCCTAAAAAGGGGCACGAGCCCCACCCCTATAAATACCCCAATC